ATTGACCACGTTGGAAGCGTGCTGGCAAACACTGCTCGCAGCTGCAATATCCGTGAGCCAAATGTCTGCGTAACGATGCTGTCAATAATAAATACAAATGATTGTTAGGAACAGCAGACATAGCCGAGTTGCTTGTATGCCATCCTGACGACTCGTTCCCACGCCGCACTATCTATCCGCCTATAGGCCATAGGTGCGGTGATATCGCGCAAACCGCTGACAAGATTAGTGCTCTATCCAACCATTCGGATGAGTCTGGAGGTCGGTCAACATGATAACCCCTCAAGGACATGATCCTATTGGTCCGATTGCATTACCAGCCTGTAAAAACGCGTATGTTCATTTCTTTGCCTTAAATACCTCAATAGACTTCTAGTATTCCCCCCTCGTCATTGAGTTCCCCTTCGGGTTTTGACTGGGAGGTCGTTGGTAGGGCGACCATCGGTGCTTGTGGCAATTTCAGAACAAGGATGAGATTAAGGCAATCACTTACTGTCACGTAAACGAACATGCAGTCATCGCTCCCAGTACAACTGTCGGCGATGGGTGCAGGAGCCGCTCACAATGGTTGAGGAGAAACTCCACCCAATTTATACGGCTCCTTTATCTACTCCTTTATCTCTTCTCGCGGTATTACACTCAGCCGAAAGATGAATATGAGCGAGTGAAAACTGCATTTAGGCGGAGTTGGTGAGAATAGATGCGTACATTTCGCTTTTCTCTCTTCCACTCTCCCTTTCTCAGTGCCCATCGTTCCGAGCTTTTTGATGACTGTGAAGGCCAAGTCAGTAGTGCAATCAATCCTGGAACGAAGCGAATACAACTGCACCTCGAAGAACAACCTCGTGAACACCCTGATGGAGGCCATAATGCACCTAGCTCCCGTCTCCTGGGCCTCAAGGGCGCATGTAGCCCTATCAGAAATCGATTTTCTCGACCCCGACGTGGCCTCTCGGCGGGAACGACACGAAGTTAGACGCCTGCTGCGGCAAGTTGACAAGCTGGCTCAGGACTGTAACCTCAATACTACAGCCATGGCAATAGAGATGCGGGAATCTCACATGGGCCGGGAGAACTTCCTAGTGGGAATGTTGTTCGCTTCAAAGTCCATTGTGCAATTGATCGTCAATCCCCTGGTCGGACCGCTGACCAACAAGTGAGTCGAACAGAACCGTAAAACTGGCTCCAACAGCCCACTGCTTGTTGACTTCCATTAGGCATAGCGCCTCTTAAGGTCCTTTTATAGAAGAAATGTCGAGTGTTAACTTGCTATGGGAACTGAAAGTCAGTAAAGCTTGTATAATTTTGTTAAATGTCACAAAATTAAATTGAATTCAGAAGTATAGCGACAAATGGTTAATAAGTAACAAGCTTTACTCACAAAAATGGTAGTTTCAAACGCGCGTGGTCAGGTTATAGCTGACCGTCTTCAGCGAAAATGTAAAATGAAAAGAAAGTCCATATAAGTTGTATGATACATTTTTACGGAATTTGACTTTGCATACAAGCGACAAGAAATGCATTCAAAGGAGATATCTTGCGGTTACATAAGGAGCGTTCGTAAATGATCGTAACAAATTATTCGAAGCCGTGAGGTACTCTTTCTTCGAAAATAAAATTTAAAGGAAATAAGATTTGCAACCAAATGAGTACAAGAAACAATATTTTCGTTCAGGCCTTCTATCAATAAAGAGACATTGGCAATGAAAAGAATAGTTCACATTATTTACATAGCCAGCCTTTTGCCGAATGTGGTTTTGCAGGCAGTCGAGAAGAATACTGCCGGAATCCTGCGGTGATTTGAACATTTTTTTTGAGTAGACTGCACAATATCCACTTTCCTGGCAGCAATTAAATTTTCAGTTAATTCGTTGCGGATAATAGGCAACGCCTTTGAAAATCCTATCTTTTGCCTGCCGGTGCATCATATACATTTGTAAATACTCTGCTAAAAGTACCACTACTAACATAGTATTCACCAAACGTAATAGACATCGTTATAACAAATCACTCCTGTCTAGAACTGGCATGATATTATTAAACATTTGGTAATCGAAAACGCATTTCATATTTTCGGTTAAAATGTAATGATCTTTGCCATTAGTTGTATTTAACTGACAGACAACATTTCCGAACGTATTCCAAAGCATAAATAAAGTTTTATCTTAGCTATTACTGAAGTAGTTCTTTCCATTCTGTTCCAAAGGATAGGTTATTCCATCCCGATGTTTACCGGTTTCCTCATCATGTTTTCCTCGACATTTAGTAAGTTCCACAGATGTTACTTTTTGTGTCACCTGCCAGTAAGTCTCATTCCGATAAAGAAATTACCAAGACTGTTCCATTACAGCCTTTGCTTTTGGCGAAACCTACGGCGTTCTTCTGGTGGCTCGAGCCATGCAGGGCATAGGGTCCGCCTGCTCTAGTGTCTCTGGCAAGTTTTACTTGAAATTACCCACTTTTACTGATGCTTCCTTCCAAGCTTTTACATAGGACAGCCCTGATCCAAACAAGAAAATTTAACGGAGACAGTTTGATCGCCGTTGCTGACGATGTCGACAGAGTAGTGGGCGTAGGGAGGGGAAGGATTAGAAAAACAGATATTACACTTAAAAACAAAGCCTCCAAGTCTAGGAGCAGCGAGATGTAATCAGTTAGCGCGGGAACAGGATTGGAAATTCAACTAAATAATATGGGCGTTAGGGGACACAAAAGGGGCGTAATTACCCATAAAGGGGGAGGATCAACAGTATGATGTTAACTTATAATAAAATGTCCTATAAATCACCTTACCGTTAACACCAAAGGCATAAACGGTAAGGTAACGCGTCTAGTGTTATAAGGACGCAAATAGCTATTCGATAGAAGAAGTGCTTTGGAAAACGGTGGTTTATTGTGTGAAATTTAGACGCTGGCACGCCGGGTCATGGTCAGACAGAT